GCTCTCCCACCTTGTCCACAGCTGGAGGCTGAAGCTGAACCCCAGCAGGAATTCCAAGGAGCTGGTTGGAGGCCCAGGGGGCCGCAGAATCCCTTCTCCACATCCTGCCAGCCAAGGAAGCTGTAAGGCAAGCCAGGCTCAAGGGACGGAGGTCAGAGGCCCCGCCTGGGAGGAGTCGAAACAGTGTGCGGTCTTTCTCCTCCTCCACTCCTCCTTCTTCTGCTTACTCCTCCTTTTTTTCTTTTTTTACAAATTCCAGATCCTACCTGGGTGTGGTGCACATCCTGTGATCCCAGTGGCTTGGGAGGCTGAGGCAGGAGGATCACAAGTTCAAAGTCAGCCTCAGCAACTTAGCGAGGCCCTAAGCACCTCAGCAAGACTCTGGTCTCAAAATAAAAAATAAGAAAATGACTGGGGATGTGGCTCGGTGGCTATGCGCCCGCTGCGTTCAATCCCCACCAACCCCCCAGATGACCTCCCTTCCTCCAGCTGCCTCCCACCTGACACATCTCTGTCCCAAGCTGTCCCTCTGCCCCTTGGGGGCCTGAAAACTGTGGATGTACCCCCCATGGTCAAGTGTCCTTGGTGTGTGACGCTAGTGGACGTGCAGGTTTCACTGCACACACAGCTTCTGTTTCCCGTGGCAACATGTGTCCCTGGGTGCCTCACCCTGTCCCCTCCTCTGGGACCTGAGAAAGCTGTCCAAGCTGAGGACTCTGCAGAGCAGCTCCACATGCACCGTCCCCAAGACCCCCCAGAGACCACCATTGGGGAAGTGCCCTGGAAACCATCAGGGTGAGTGGGGAAACCGCTTCCAAGGCCCAAGTGATGCCGCCCCTTCTGGGAGGGTCTGGACCTGGAACCAGCCCCTGTTTCTGTGCCATGCGTCAGCAGTCAAGAGCCAGCCAGCAGAGCTCTTCATGGAAGCAACGCGGCAGTTTCCACGGTGACTACCCGCTTAGACCCCAAAGCGGGACTATAATGGGAAGGAAGAGGTTTGCCGTAAGAGCCGGCCAGACCCACACACAAGGTCGGGTACTTGTAGATTTCCCTGGCTCAACCCAGAAACCTGAGATGCGACATCTCTGAAATGTCCAATTTCTGAAGTTGAAAACTGGGGCAGGCTCATTTGTTGGTACGATGTCGACTGCCAGCGGTTAATCACCAAGGGTAAGTGGGAGAGATCATTTCTGCTCATTTGCAAATGGAAATCAGATGGGGCCCGGGCTCCCCTGCACCAGTGCTTCTCCTTCCAACTGCAGGAGTTTCGGAGACACTGACCTTGGGTTGCCAGGCAGCCTCTGGCGGCTCAGGCTCCCGCTCAGGGCACCGCGTGCACTTGTGTCCAGCGCGGGACGTCCTCTGCCATTCCTGCTCATGGTGGAGGTCACACCTGGTTGGTGTGGGAAGTAGGAGGTCTTTCCAGATGCAGGGGATTGCTATCACACACAAACAGCCACTTCCCCCTTCCTTTATGGCTCTGCGGAGACTTGGGGACCCACTTCACCTTGCCTGAAGGGCCCAGGAAATCATGCTGAAACCCTTCCAAGAGTCAAGAGATGTGTTTATAAATCCTCTTTGCTGAACTGTTGGCCCCAAGAAATTTGATAATAAAACATTTACACGGGGGGGTGGTGGTGAGCTGGATGGGTTTCCTCCCCCCACTACAACGTGCGTGTTTTCTGCTTACGGGGGTCTGTGCCCGCTGCGTTTCCTGCCCTCAGAGGCGTGTGCTTGGAATACTGAAGTGAGAGCCCCGTGCATCAGACATGGCATGGATCTCTCTCCGCGCTGCGGGATTCATTACTGTGATTTATGGCCGTTTTAATGTACACAGCCTGCTTGAACAACTTAGAGTTGATTGTTCTGGAACTAGACTTGGGTCCAAGAGAGCTCTGGAGCCGTGCCACGGTGCAGGGGAGTCGTCGGTGTCCCTGAGGAGGTCAACAACCTTGGACCAAAGGCTCCGGGTTACCACAAACTGACGAGGGGGCCGGTGATGACCACAGCTGCAGGGAGGGAGTCCCAAGCCCGGGCTGAGCGGCATGCCCTTGTCAGGCTTGGCAGGCCCAGTGGGGACCCTGGGGGGACAGTGCCTCTGCTGGCTTCCTCATGTCCACCTGGGGCGGGTTCATAGGCCAGGTGACAGGGAGCCAGAGCTGGACTGCCCACCAGCACCACTGGAGAAAACCCACCTGGGCCGCTCAGTGCACAGTGACCCCTTGTATCACAGCAACTTTGTGGTTCTGTTTTTTTTTTTTTTTTTAATTATTGATTTTTTAGTTGTAGGTGGACACACACCATCTTTATTTCATTGTTACGTGGTGCTGAGGATCAAACCCAGTCCTCACACGTGCTAGGTGAGCGCTCTACCACGAGCCCCAGCCCAGCCCTGTGGTGCAGTTTGATTCCTAACTTTAAGAGTAATGACGCATCGTCTTGGTGCCAGGCCTCATGGTTCCAACCTGGATCAAAGGGAGCCTCGCAGCAGGGACGAGGGACGGGTGAGGGCAGCGTGGAGGAGAGGAGCCACGCTCAGTGCATTATAAAGGCGCAGGGGGGTCTGCAGGAGGTCCAGCTGAACAGGCCAGACCTCCAGCACAGAAGTCTCCGGAAGGGATGGGGAGGCACATCTGGCCAGTGGAGGGAAGGCCACCTTCTGAACCTCGCCTGGAGAAGCAGGACCACAGAGCTGCACCTGGCGGTGCCTGCAGGAGGCAGCACACCTGTGCAGGTGAGAACCCCATGGGAGGAAAGACCCAGAGCTCAGGGCTCCTTCCACGCACCAGAAGATCCGGTAGAAAGCTCACGGTAGACCAGCTGCCTCATGGTCCTCATCATCCACCAGACCCGCGTCTCCAGCGCTGCCTCTCCCAGGCCAGAATTCCCAGAGGTATCCGATCTTCACTGCACAGTGAGGCAGAGCACACCCAGCAGAGCCCTGGGTTTTCTGCCTTTTTTCTGTGATGAGCCACGTGCTCCCGGTCCTGTGTCCCAGGTAGACGCAGGTGGCTGAGCTTCCCGACCAGCTGTCACATCCCATGCCGGGTCAACACTCACCACAACCAGGAGCTGTGGTCATCAACAGCGAGGAGGCCTGTCCAGAGCTCAGGTGGCACTTCTGGGGTCACCCAGCTGGTAATACATCAGCCAGAATTCTCCTTTCCATCTTTCTGTTCCTTCATGAGAGGCATGCATCTTCCCACATGGGGGACCATGTGAAGTGAGTTTCACGGTGGCCCTGGGGAGGGGGCTCAGGCCCCAGGCCACGTCCTTCCTGAGCCACAGGCTACTCTGCAAGCCTCACTCTGAGTATCAGTGACCCCCCTGTGAGCGGGAACAACAGCACGGGCCTCTTCACCTGCAACCGGGGACGATGACCAAGGACCGCCGCACCTGCCCCACTGCTGAGCAAGGCGGAGGAAGCAGGCACAGCATGGCACAGCGTGGCACAGCGTGGCACAACATGGCACAGCGTGGCACAGAGCGGCTCTGGGCTGCTCAGAGCTCAAGGAGTGTCTCTTTGGTTTGGAGATGGAGGAAATCCCAGGGCAGTGGCTCCTCTGAGCTCAACTGGAGGAGCTTATGTAACATGAAGATTTCCACACACAGCCTGTCCCTCCCAGAGACCCTGCACACTACGGCTGTGAAGCCCAAGAGGCAGATCTCTTACCTCAAAGAGGCTAAGAGGCTGGTTTCCTAGGGCCAGCCCTGGACTACACCAAACCCGAGAACTGAACTGAGCGCTGACCCCAGACCCTGTGAGTCCTGTCTCAGGAATGGGGCTCCCAGGAGGCCCAAGTGGAGACAGCTGGAAGCCACCATCACGAGGACAGGGTAGAGCTTTAGCAGCGTCAGGACCCGGGAGAGACCTGCACTTATCACCTAGAGAGACCAGCGCGGCATGGTCCAGAACGGACAAGCTGTCGCCTGACGGGGAGTACTGCTCACGCTGAACACACCCACAGGGACTCAGAATGCTAACTGCTTTGTAGACCATTCCGATTCCCAAAGATTCAGAAGCGAAGGTCTGGAAGATTTCACACCAGACGAAGCACTGTGGGGAGACGCGGAGGGAGATCAAGGCAGCTCTGGACTTTTCAAAGGTAGGTAAAAGGTTTACACGGAGCACATGCACATGTTTTTATTATTAAATTTAAATAATGGGGCTGGGGATGGGGCTCAAGCGGTAACGCGCTTGCCTGGCATGCGCGGGGCGCTGGGTTCGATCCTCAGCACCACATAAAATAAAAATAAAGATGTTGTATCCACAAAAAATTGAAAAATAAATATTAAAATATTTTTTAAAAAAATTTAAATAATGGAAACAAATAATCAAGTTGAAACACAGACCTGCCTGCCAGTGAGTGCAAAGGCAGGAAAAAGTGGAGACTCCCCTAGCCCGCGGCGCGTGGGAGAGCTTGTCTCCAGCAGCCAGCCGCGGGAGAGCCCAGGGCTCCCGTCCATCTTTATAGGTCCAGCCAGACCGTGTGGATCCAAAGGGTGGGGCATTTACATAGTCGTAAAATCCTGAGTGTCTTTTAAAACCGTTTTATTGAGATGTGATCGACATCCCATATACTTCATCCAAGCGCACAGTTCAACAGTTTGAATATATCCAGATTGGTGCCACCGACTCTGGGCACTCTTACCACTCCACAGAGTCACCCAGGGCCCCCTGTGTCACTCCTCATTTCTCCCCGCTCCCCTAGTCCTAGACAACCATTCCTCTACTTTCTGCTGTAGATGGTTGCCTATCAGGGAATGCATGGAAGTGGGATCTTTGGTGAACTGGCTTCGTTTGCTTCCTGTGATGTTCTCAAGGTCCACCGCGGTGGCATGCTGTCTCTACAGCTACGTGGTATTCCCTGGCACGGGCAGGCCACGTTTTGTCCATCATTGCTGCGCATCTGAGCTGCATCCACTTTCAGGCTATTACAAATAATGCTGCTGTCAACATTCACGTGCAAGTTCTCATGTGTGGTATCGACTCCGCTCCTGGTGCCAAGGAGCTGGCCGAGGGTCCCTGAGGAGAAGCAGCCCCGTCAAGCCCGTCAAGAGGGCGCTGCGGTCCTGAGGTGCTGCGAGCCAGGTGCACGGACCTGTCGCCCTTCGGCAGCCAGCTGGGGCACGGCACAGACGCCTGCTGCCAAGCTCACTCCACACATCTGCCACCCAGTGACCGCCACCTCCCACCCCCTACCGCACGGGAAAATGGAAGTGGGAGGCCTACCAGGAAGTCGGCACTGGAGAGTGCACCTAGTGTCAGTGTGTTCCCAACGCTCATCCCCATGGGTTTGGGCAAACAGCAGTGACCTGGTGCTCCATGAAGGTGCCCACCACACCCACGGATGGAGGAAGCCAGCCATCGGCTCTTCTGTTGAACCACAGAGTTCTGTTTCTCTTTGAATCCTTTAATAAATCCTACTCCTTCACTCAGCCTGGTGTGTGGATCTCATTCTTGGAATTCACGAGGCCCAGGAAGAAGGGGAATCTGAGGTGAGCGCTGGGTCTGCTGCAGCCTGGGAGGCTGTGGCCGCCACTGAGACTGCCACGCTTCTCTGCAGAGGCTGCAGCCTGCAGACCCCCTGCCGGGAGGAGCAGGGAGGCCAGCTTCATCCCAATTTCAAGCTCTGCGTTTCTCTGGGTCGGACACCTAGGAGGGGACTCCTGCCCATGTGGTGGCTCTGTGGAACTGGCCGAGGAGCTGCCCATGTGGTGGCTCTGTTCTCAAAGGGTCAGCACCAGTTCACACTGAGGCTGCCGTTTCCCCTTCCCAACACTGGCCTCGGCCTCTTCTGTTGGTAGCCCCCCTAGAGGGAGAAGTGGCCTCGCACTGGGGATCTGACTTGGCTCCCTCTCATGACATGAATGTCCTCACTGCATTTTCAGTCTCTAGAAGCAGCCTGTAAGCACACCGGGAAGACGGTAAAGATCACAAAACAGAAGGTGAACATGAGACTTGAGCGTGTAAAAATGACTGCGAATAAAACCCGGGAGGCAGAAGGGAGAGCAGAAAGAAAAGCTCGTGTGCTCATGTCCTTGTCTCTCCTAGAGGGGAGGCAAGAAGCCGGAGGGTGACAGGTGTCGTCGAGGTGAAGAACATCAGGAGACAGAAGGCAGGAGTGAGGCGGGCACCTAGCTCACAGTCCCCGTCCGTGCCCAGCAGCTCTGTTAGGTGAGACACAGCAGGACCTGGGCTGTCCGTCTTATATTACTTGTAAGTGATCCCTGGAAGAACCCGAATCAACTGTTAATGGTGGAGGAATTTGGAGGAGGAAAGGTGAGACTTTCTATTTTGACTTCAGTAGAGATGGATGCAATCTGCTGGGGTGATCTTGATCATCGCAGAGATAAGCCAATCCGAGGTTCCTTTGTGAACGCACAGCAAGGACAGAGGCAGATCAGGCAGCAGAGCAGCTGTGGGGAGCGTTGGGTGGGATGGGCGTAGGGACCTGGCCTCAGCCGTTTCTTGGGACAATACTTACATATTTTGTTCATTTTAAAATCAGAAATACATTTTGCACACAACAGAGACCTCTCCCCAGGAGGAAAACCCTCTCTCCATCTGTTCCGGGGCTCCTCTCTGGGCTGTACTCGAGGCTGGATTGCTACCAAAATGGGGTCTGGTGGACATCAACTCTTGAGGGAGTTTGCCAATGTGGCTGACCAGGTCCACTCCCTGCCCTAAAGTCCTCGGTGACTTTAATGAAAAGAGGGTGGCACCAAGAGCCCCCCAGAAGCAGTGTGGCCTGGGCCGGGGGCCAGGGGAGAGCCTCAGGTCACGGAAGCTGCAGAGCTGCTCCCATGCCTGAGCCCCACGTTTTCCCGTTCAGGGGAAACACGGAAGCACAGTTTGTGTTTTCATAATCTCAGGGTGGGAAAGGCATTTCTAAGATAACAGGAAACCCAGAAGCCATAAAAAAAATGATCAATTTGATTAAATAGAAGTAAAACATTTTTGCAAAGAAAAATGCACAAATCAAATCAAACAGATCAGAGACAAACTGAGAACAGTATTTGTGACACCTACAATATGCTGAGAGCTGATTTTCTCAATTTGCAAAGAGCTCTTAAAAATCAATAAAAAAAAAGACCAATAATCCAAGAGGATCTGGGTAAGGGACATAAACAGATGAAGGGTTCTGAGGAAAGAAAGTACAAATGGCTTCATGCATATGAAAAGATCCCCATCCTCCCTCGTGGTAAAAGGTAAATGCAAATTAAGATCAAGTGGTGTAAATGGCCAAAAAATATATGAAAAATGCCCAATATCTGTAGTCATCAGGGAAATGCAAATAAACTACATGGAGATTCCTCCTCGCCACCATCAAAATGGCTATTATCAAAAACAAAACAAACCCATGCTGGCAAGAAAGGAACCCCAGAACCCTAAAGCTCCGTTGGTGGGAATTAGCACAACTGCAGAAAACTGAACGGAGGGCCCTCAGCAGACTAAGAGACACTCCTTAGTATATACCTCAAGGAACAAAGCCAAGACACCAAAGTGAGCTCTGCACACCCATGTTTATTGCAGCACTAATCACAATGGTGAAAATTTATAATCAACCTAGAAGCCCATCAACAGATGGATGGATAAAGAAAATATGGTGTAGACGTACAATGGAGTATTACTCACTCAGAGTGAGATCCAGCCATTTATAAGAAAACGGATGGAACTGGAGGACACCATGTTAAGCAAAACAAGCCTGGTGAATCGTACCAAGGCACCTTCACGAGGCGGCTCGTCTCAGCCCTGTTCCCAGTAACCTTGGGCTTGCTGTCTGCCTGGCACCAAATGTGCAGTGATCGATACTGAAGTGTGGCAGCCTGGCCACCGCCTGATTCACACAGGTGTGACAGCCCTCCCGAGCTTCCTCAGCGAGCCCTGCCATGACCCAAGGAAGGACAGCAGGCTCTCAGTCCACCTGCCCTGTCCGGTGACCAGCAGGTCACAGAGGAGCCGTGGAGAAAAACCTGCTCCTGAAGCCACAGTGCAGCGTCCCCGCGTCCCCTGGCCATCCCTAGCTACTGACTCACTCAGAAGCCACCTGCTAAATGCTGACCAGTCAAGGTTCTGGGCTAGAAGAAACAGGGAGTTTGGTAACTTAAGCATAATCAAATGCATTTATTGGAAATACAACAGATTGTTCACGGAACAAGCAGGAAGAGTTGGCCACGGGAAGCCGAAGGGGCTGGTGGCAGAATCACAGCCCACACCTCAGGGCGTGGCCGGGCAGCCTGGGGCCCCTGCAGACGTTGCTCTGTGAAGAACCTAAACTGCCCCTCCTCATCGTGTCCCCACCTCCAAGCCAGCACACAGGTAGGACCTCCGGCCGGACAAGCTGGGCACAGCGCTGGGACCAGGGTGGCCTGGATCCCTTTGGCCTTCCTGGGCTGTAGGGCTCTCCCCTTCCACCCAGACTCACAGGGTGGGGGTCCCTGCCAGCCGCGGGGTTTGGAAGCCCAGCACACGTTGGCTGTGATGGCCTGGCTGAGTCCAGTCCACCATTGGGCCCTCGTCCAGCAGCAGGACAAGTGTCAGTGCTTCCAGGGGATGTTGCCCGGGCCCCAGCCTCTGCCTCTTGAACTTACTCTCTCCCAATTCCTCCCACAGCCAGGTTCACCTGGATGAACCGTAGCCCAGGCAGCACCGACTGCGCCAGCCTGAGCCGCTCAATTCCTCCTCCCTCTGCAGACAGTTGACCCAAGAGACCCAGAAGCAGCTCCTGACGGGGTCCTGGAACATGAGGTCAAGGAAGCCAAGCCAGAGTCCAAGCTGAGGCCGGCTGGAGGCACACGCGTGTGCGTGTGTGTGGTGTCCCACGTGCACACATGACGGGTCTGTGCAGACCGTGTGCCACATGAACAGGGAGAAGCCAGGCCTTCCACAGCCCCCCGTGTCTGCCTGTGGCCTGGCAATGGCCCAGGTTCTCTTTTGGCCAGCCCCTCTGCCCTAGCTGACCAGACAAACCCTTTCGAGCGAGGACGCCTGCCCGGCAGCAGGCACCACCCAGGGCTGGACCCTGGGAGCCGTGGCGGGACTGGCCCTCCCAGGATTCTGACCTCTGTGGATCCCAGACAGCTACAGGGCCGGCAGGGCCTGGGGAGTCCTTCCAGACCAGACCTTTAGTGAACAGCTGAGGACAGAGTCCAGGTGGTTAAGGGACCGTCAGTTCTCTCCCGGGAACAGAGCTGGGCGTGGCCTGCAGTTCTCCGCCTGCCCAGCATTCTTCCTGCCTGGACCTGCTTCTGCCAAGTGGCGCTCCCCCCAGATCCCATGGCGGGTGGCAGCCACACGGAGAACTCACCCTCCAAGCAGCTTTTCCTGCGCCCTCCACCCAGGGCCTTTGCCCACTTTGTGTTTGAGAACAGACCCTGCTGCTCTTCTAGGGCAACATGGCTGACCCCAGCTGCCGATGGGCAGCCACCGGACGTGGTGATGGAACGCTCCGCTGGGCACACTGCCACGGTGGGGGGGATTTCTAAGGCCTGGGAGATGACCGGATGGGAGCATGTCTCAGAGGAAGGACCTATTTCAAGGTGAACCCTTCTATCAGCCACCACTATTTCACTCCTTGGCCACTCAACCCGAAGGTGGCATCTGAGCCGTGTCCTAAGCCAACTGAGTTCCCCAGTGCTTACTGACTTGTACCAGGCATCTGAGACCCAAGAGTTGGAGACATCGTTCTTGCTTTGGGAAACTTTCAATTTCATAAGAGATAATGTGTTATGGATTGAATTATCGCCCCTAAAATTCACCCCTCCCAGGGGCTGTGAATAGGAGTTTATTTGAAAATAAGCTTTTTGCAGATGTAATCAAATTAAAATGAGGTCATGAGGATGGACCCTAATCCAGTAGGACTGTGTCCTCATAAAACAAAGGGAAATTTGGACACAGAGACAGACCTGCACACAGGGAGAATGCTGTGTGCACCCGCAGGCGGAGACGGGTGGTGCATACAAGCCAAGGACCGCCAAGGACAGCCAGCAGTCACCAGAAGCCAGGGAGGGGCCCGAGACAGAGCCTCCCTTCCAGCCTCAGGAGGAACCAGCCCTGAGACACTTGGATCTTGGACTTCCAGCCTCTAGAACTGCAAGGCCTACATTTCAGTGGCTTCAACTGGCCAGTGACAGCCCTATATGACACAGCCCAGGAACCGACAGCACCATGTACCATCAGCTGCTCCGGAACCACCCGGCCAGCAAGCCCCTTGAGGAAGCCCCAGTGTGGGATCCCTGCACACAAGTCATGGGCCAGCCAAGTTAAGTAAAGGGGAAATAATTCAGTAAGATGACCGGCTTAGCTGGGCTTTTGTCCCCCACTCCTCCGCAGCAGTAGTCGGAGCCAGCCCCAGTCTTCTCCATTCTAGAATACGGGTGGGGTGAGGGGTCTGTCCAGGAGGGACAGCGGGGAGGGTCTGAGCTCTGCCTTCTCCCTCGGTGCTCTAATGCACCTGGGAAGAGACCCGCCTCTGTGACCCAGTTCAGAACTCGGGCCAGGCCAGGCCGCCACATGACTGCATTAGGAGGCAGCCTGCCCACCACAACTGACTAATGGTCTGTTTGGGGCCAGGAAACTGTCTCTTGCAAGGAAATATATTATTCTATAATTTCCCTAAAATATTAAAAGTGGATTTCTGCTTGGAGAGACGGGCCTGCACTTCCTCACCCCTCCCAAAGAGGACAGGCCTGAGGGCTGGGGAGTCACGCCAGCTGCCTTGGGAGGGTGGGTTTCTGTTTGTCCAGCCAGTGGGGCCCCTGAAAATATGCAGCCTCAACCACAGAAGGAGGTTAAGTCCACAAGGAGTTTAACTCGGGTGGGCACATCCGAGGGCAGAGAGAAAGCAGTGGCCACCTCAAAACCCGGCACCTGCAAGGTGACACGCTGAGGGAGGGGCAGCGAAGACCCCCGCCTGCCCACCCACAGCCGTGCTTGCTCTTCTACGAGGGTCATGCCTCTGGACTTCAGGCCCCCAAGAGTCCGTGGAGAAGGCAGGGGCAGCCACGGACCTGAGTGAGAGGTGGTTGAACCCTGGATCGCTCGTCTCCAGCTCCAACGAGGCACGCCCTTCATCACCAACACGGTCATCGGCCACCGAGAGTCGGCTCACCCTGCAACTGTCACCAGAGCAGGCACAGTGTCCCTGTCACATGGCCACTGGCCCATTGCTGTCGACGTCCGTCGTGATCGGCACCAGGATTCTGCAGAGCTCTCAGAAGCCTTCACACACCGGTTTCTTGAAAGTGATGGCGTAGTGTCCTGAGACGCGCCCCTTGCGGGGACAGAGGTGTGCCTGTCCCTCTTCTCACACACACTTGTCTCACACAGCTGGTTCCTGGAACCCACCTGCTGCGCCTGACACTCTGAAAGACTGCTGAGAACTATTCCTGGGTCCCACCAAGTAGCAGAGATCCGTGGCACCTGCTAAGTCCCTGCTCTGGGGCTGAGAGCAGGACTTGGGCAGCAGAACAGGACACACTCCAAGGATTTAAATTAAAGAGGACCTGGGGAGTGGCCCCTAGGCGATGGAGGGGCTGAGAGGCTGAGCAGAAACATGTGAGGGCCAGACAAGACCATGGGAGCCAGGGGCAGCTGGCCAAGGTGGACAGGCCCCTGCCCATGTGCTATGGTTTGGGTCTGGAATGTCCCCAAAACCTCATGTGAGGAAGGCTGGTGCCCAAGGCAGCAACACCCAGAGGCTGGGCTTTGGGAAATGGTTGGTTATGAGGGCTCCGACCTCAGCCGTGGGTTAGTCCACTACGTCGATCGGTTCGTGCTCAGAGGGGCCCAGTTGGAAGAAGCGGGTCCCTGAGGGCATGCTGTGGAAGGGCACATCTTGCCCCTGGCCCATTCTCCTCTCTCCCTGCTTCCTGGCCGCCATGAGCTGACCAGTGTCCCTCCACCACACTCCTCCACCACGAGGCCCACAGTGGTGGACCCAGACAACCAGGGCGATACCTCTGAGACCATGGAGCCAAAATAAATCTCTCCTCCTTTAAGGTAGTTGACTTTCTCAGGTATTTTGTCACAGCCACGAAGAGCTGACTGACACTCTGCAGCTCTCCAGGGGCACCCTGGGTCTCTGAGACAGGTGCCCTGCAGCTCCGACATCCGTGGAGT